AGCCATAGAGCCAGCGTTTTGTCCAAAGACAATCTTCCATGGTCACATGGCTAGTGCGACTTAGATACGGAACACTGTTACCTTCCCACCGAGGTGGTCCCTATTGATCTACTTGCATTTGCATGCTTTCGAACCGCTAGGTTGGCGGGAGCTGGGACAAGCGCCAGGAGCTCACTCCGTCGCGTGGATTCGATCTTACGACTGCTGGTCTTCTGACCCTGCAGCAGAGGCTTCTGCAGTTTAGCCCACAGCGCCACCACGTGTATTGTTAGATACTTATAAATTGTTTATATAAGTATCTAAAAATAAAGAAAAATTTAAAAAAATTTAAAAATGCAAATGTCACCTAGTAACTTTCAGGAGTGACTAAAATTTGAAATGAAGTTTAGCACGCTACATGCTGGACCCCAATGAGACTCTTTCAAAGAGCTGTAAATTGCATACAACACTAGTAGAAATGTAAACTAGTGTAAATCATACTTAACTGTCAATATTTAGAAAAGGAAAAATGTTTGTTTAAATGTTACAGTTCAGTTAAAAATGATGTCTCTGCCCTGTGCTTGAGTTGACAGATTTAGAGGGAGTCTCTGTGAATACTCAAGGAGCTAAGAACTGTCAGTAGGCAATATAGAGATTTGGGCCAGCTATCCTCTTTCTCCATGCTTGATTGTCCCCTCACGTAGTCCTTTAAATAGGATTCTATCTGAAAAAGATCATTGTGCCGATGTCTGTTGTGGAGAGAAGTGCACACATAAACTGAATTTAGAATCTACAGTGGTGCCTTGAGTTACGAACTTAATCAGTTTTGGAAGATGGTCATAAGTCAAATTGGTTGTAACTCAAAGCACCATTTCCCATAGGAATACATTGAAACAGATTAATCTGTTCAAAGCATTAGTTCCCATAGGAACTAATGCAAAAATAGTTAATCCGTCCACTAGGGGGAGACTTTTTTAAACCTAAGATGACTTGAGTTTAAAAATAGACCAGGAAAGGAGGGAGGGAGGGAACAATGGGGAAAAGAGGAAAGAAAGAAGGTCATCACTGAGGTACGCAGACCCCTCAGACAAAGGTTTGTGCTTTGAGGCACAAAAAGAGAGAGGAGAGAGAGAGAGAGAGAGAGAGAGAGAAGACAGTTGGGGGAGGGGAAGAGTTTGGAGTCCAAAACACCTGTTAAACAAAACACATTTGAAAAACAAAACCCCTCACCAGGTGATAGCACAGAAACATAACCCCCACCCACCCAGCCCAAACCCTAGGAGCCACAGAATCAAGAAAACCTATTCCAGCAGGGACTTAAAAAAGCACAGAAACATAGCACCCCACACCCCAGAGAATCAAGAAAACCTATTCCAGCAGGGACTAAAAAAAGCACAGAAACATAGCACCCCCCACCCAGCCCAAACCCACGCTGCAAAACCCTACAATACTTACCTGGAACAGGCAGTTTTTAAAATTTTAAAAAGCAAAAGCAGTACCAGGCAGTCTGGAGCCTCTCTCCAAATGCACACTCTCTAACTGCTGGGGCAAAGGAGCTACAGAGAAACAGCCTCTTCGCTGACCAACGGTTAGCAGTTCAAATTTCCCCGCCTTTTTCGCTGCCTTTTTTCTGGTCATAACTCAAAGCTCCGGTCGCACGTCAAAGCAAAATTTTGTGACCGGAGCTGGTCATAACTCGAATTGGTTGCAAGTCAGGACTCGTAAGTCGAGGCACCATCACATTCTGATCCACAATGTGGATCTGCCTGTGAAGGATTTTTCTGAGTAAACTTTCCTCATAGTGTAAATCAGATATGATAGGTAAAGAGCCAAACTTGATTTGTTGTTGAATGTATCATTGCAGGTATTTTTAAAAAAATCTACATAGCTCATTTGAAGATTGACCATTACTCTCTTTGAAGATGGTGTGTGCGTTGGGAGGAACTCCATCAGTGGCTTTACTGATATCCCCTTCTACAGTAGTGCCTCGCTTAACGATGATATACCGTTCCAGGAAAATCGCCGTTAAGTGAAAACATTGTAAAGCAAAAAAAACCAAAACACATAAACCCAAAAAACAAAACAAAAACAATTGAAATGCATTGAAACCCATTCAGTGCGTTCCAGTGGGGTAAAAACTCACCGTCCAGCGAAGAACCTCCATACGGTGGCCATTTTCGCTGCCTGTATAGCGAGGAATCCATCCCTAAACACATTGGGGAGCCATTCTAATTACCCGGCGGCCATTTTGAAACCGCTGATTAGCTGTTAGAAAAACATCATATTGTGAAGAATCGGCTCCCGAAGCAGGGAACCAATCATCGCAAAGCGGAATTCCCCCATTTCGACCATCGTTTTGCGATCGCAAAAAGATTGTTGTTAAGCGGATTCATCATAATGCGGGACAATCGTAAAGCGAGGCACCACTGTATCTCCCTTTCCCCACCTGTTCTTAAAAAATGAAAGCACTGCAAAAGTGCATGTTAATTGAAAATATGTTGCACCAATGGTATGTAGTTTGGCTCTGAGACTGCAGTGTTTGAATGATGGGTAAAGCAGATTGCTGCCTGCCTGTCTTCATTGTGAATATTACTGTTGTTGGATTTGGAGATACATCTCTGAAAAATCAACATATAGTGGCAGTATACTTTTCTATGAGTTCTAGAAATCACTTTTGACCCAGGAACCAGCTGTTTTTATACTTTCTACCATCTGTTTTATACAGTTGTAATAAGAATAGATGACCAAGGACTGAATCACAGGGATTTTAACAAATTATTTTATTTTTCAGTGTAACAAACAAAAATGGAATATTTGCTAAAACTCTTTTCTTAAGATAGAAAGCCGTATGTGTCCTTGTCTTTGCCCTGTCACCCTTCAAACAACTAGCAGCAAAACAGTGTCCAGTGTTTTCCTTTATTACATTCGATAAATGAATGTGTACATGTCATTTATTCTGTTTAATTGAAGGAAAAGAGCCAAAGACAGTGCTTTTCAAAAAACCCCAGGGTGCCCATGAATCAAAGGTGTTTATTAGTAGTCCCATGTTTTAAGAACTTAGATATACTTTTAACCATGCTCTGAACAGTTGAAAATTTAACTTTCCTGTTAATGAATTTGTAAATGTGCAAACAGCTTTTATCATATGACTGAATCTGTATAAGTGGTGCTATGAAGATAAACCCATACAATTAATCCCAAAGACTCATGTGCTCAATTGGGTGGAGTAGTGAACACTTTGGGAGACACCGGAAAATCAATGAAGCAATATTGGTATTAATTTAAACTCCAAAAATTGGTAGTATTTAGTTGAAAGATTGTGTCATGGTTTGTTTTCCTACTTAACTCTAAGTTCCAGTTGCATTAATTACTGCCTTTCAAAAGTGGTGCTGCTGCATTTTAGGATGTTGTGACTCTCTAGTACAGTAGTTGTAAATGCCAGCTTTGTACATTTTCTTAAAAAACACAAACTACACTTTTCTCTAGTTAGGTTTCTCAACTTTTCCCATTTGTGAATATTGATTTGAGACTTATTTACGCTAAGAACTGCTGGATAGCTCAGTGGTTTAGGTCTCTGGCTGTGAAGCCAGCGGTTAGCAGTTTAATTCTCCACTGTGCCTCCTTGACAGGGTGCCTCATGGTGCCTCCTTGACTTCATGATCTATAGGGTATCTCCAGCTGTGCAGTTCTAAGGATGTTATTATTTATTTATTTA